TCGATACTACCCGTTTAATTTACAATTTAAGAAACAACAACATTCGAACTAGTGACCGATGTTCCCTGTTACGGATGTTACACAGTGCACCCCAAACTTACGTAACATTTGTACGCGTAAGATGAATGCTTGACATTACTAAACAGTACGTGTGTCTGTGGGTACTTACTTACCTTAGGCGAGAGTGGAGCAAGCACATCCCTGCACAGTTGCTGCACAGCTGCTTTACTCCTGCGCACAGCTGCAGGCGACACGTGTAGTGCGTCAAGCAGCGAGGACATAACCGCGCTGGCTGTGCTGCTGCTCTTCAGGCACAGCACAAAACATCGTACAGCATCGTAAAGGAACACACGAGTATAACCTTTCTTCGCTGCGAGCTCACTTTACACCAGACATCAGCTCACGCTTTACATGGTGGCTGCTCATAACCTCAACAACACAGGTTAACCACACAATTCATCCTTAATTTTCTTTTGATTTGTACCGACGCAATCTAAGCTTTCACTCGTCGTGCAACGCACTAATACTACATGCACTAGCACTATATGCACTAGCTATGTAGGCCAACACTAACTAGCACAACTTCATCATAAATCACTTCTACTGTTTTCAGTTTTAGCTAAAATCGCTAATGCACTTCACTTAAGACAGCACAATTCTAACATGGGGATATGAAGAAAAATAGAATTATTACTGAATTTCTTAGTGGTAAAAAAAAACAAGAATTCGTTTCGTTTGAATTTCTCACTCTTGTCCTGGAATTAAGATTTTTGCGTTTCCAATATATTCGTGGAAGTTGACGCGTAGGTCACTTTCCTCACAGAACTGATGCGTTTTCTAAGTCTAATTATTGAACCTCTCACGCATCTCTTTATATTCATAGAATGGGCACCACGCAGCACCTCTCAGAAGCCACGATTCATAAACCACATACGACTGATAAATATGGTCTCCCAAACTGCCATTCTAGTTTTTAAATCCCAAGTAAAAAAATAATGGAATGAACAAGTTCCCTGTATCTGTCACGTCCACACGACCAACGACACTCCGCGCTCGCCTATAAATTAACAGAAGCAAGCAAATAAATGACACCATATAGCCAGGTCTGAATAAGATGTTCGTAAGCATGAAATCGTAATCAATATTCGATCCATTGGCGTTACAGTAAAATTAAATTAACGTTTTAATGTAGTCGTGTAAATGAGACAAAAAATCATTCTGTGAGTGGATCAATTCATGGCCACCACTTGGGTACTATATAAGATCAGCTTAACCAGCACTCGAATGTACATGTCAGGCGCTAACATGAACAGGGCAACCCTCATCTTACGAGCCTCATCTTTAGAATCTTCACGCGCAGCATACTTCTCTGTGATCCAGTTTCCCAGACAATACACGGCAGGGTGGAAATAACTCGTGCATTATTATAACAAGCACGAAGTGAATATTTATTTCTCTATAGCACACGAAGATAGCATTTCTCCTGACTCAATTATCCCCTTGAAGATTACAATCTGACTGGATATACAACTAAGTTCTCTCTATTTATTGTAATCCTGTTAAACAAAACAAGAGCATTTATGTACCAAAGAATAATAAATATCACACCAACGAACACGACATTATGCACTCGTCTGTAGATTACCGTTTAACCGGAGTGCAACAGAAAAACATCATCAATACTGTTCCCCGCCTTTCTTAAAGCACCACTACAACATTAGCACAAGAATAGCACATGGAAAATTTTTCTTCGCTCAAATTATCACGTCAACAATGACAGTTTAACACGGCGCTTCATTTCATCGCATGAGCCCACTGAAGAGTGAACACCATGCAAGAAAACAGCTATGCAAGCGAGACATGAGATTAGTCAAGACAGTAAGGTGGACAACTTAGCATCATTACCCAGAGCTGGACAGCTTAGCATCATTACCCAGAGCTGGGCAGCTTAGCATCATTACCCATAGCTGGACAGCTTAGAATCATTACCCAGAGCTGGGCAGCTTAGAATCATTACCCATTTATCCTGCTAGATGATTTTAACTTCTAACCTGATTTCTAACCTTCGTTTTCTTTGATGGATGGCAAATTATGAATAGTGGCAACTCAAGTATCATTGATGGTAGACAAATGTTGCTGCACAATTATCAGTAAAATTCATTCATTTATTAATTGATCATAAAATTACCAAAATTAATCTACAATTTTGAGAATGACTTTTCATCAACACATTTGCTGCAGGCGACATGTAACGCTCAATAAGTTGTGTTAGATAAGATTTTCTTTGAAAGTATGTGGTACTCGTGCACGAGGGAATCGTATGGAAATCATCGTATGGAAGAAATTATTGTACCGTTGACAGGGAAAGATGATGTACGTGAAGAGTATGGCTTAAAGGGACATCCAGTTTACTTAAACTAATATATATACTTATTGAATTTGTTTATACATATCGCATATCGCACAATTTCTCGAGATCTTTAATAAAACGCTCAAATAAATATAAGTGTAACGCCAATACCCGAGCTGAAAAGTCTCACTTAGCTGTTCGAAAGAAAGACAAGAATTCGTGACTTTTGCCTATTTTTGGCGGGCATAAAATTACTCCGTTATTCTTCGTTAACTTTTTGGTTGAAATCTGATCAGATTTTTTTGGATAATAACAATGCCTTTATCATTCCTATCATAGATACTTGTGAATTTCATGGTCCACGAATGAAAGAATATGGCTGATACCCACTGATTCTTACAGGCAAAAATTTAGAGTTAGTGAAGACTTTTAGGAGAAANATTCTTACAGGCAAAAATTTAGAGTTAGTGAAGACTTTTAGGACTAAGCATATGGGCACGGTTCACGATTGGACATAAATATCTCACGATTATCTATTCTTAGACAGGGGATCTATTATTTCGTGAGGAGTCCATCTATTCTTACATAGGGGCCCATGCCTTTTATAGGGGGCGCTGCTGCAATCAATTTGAGTGCAAAGTTACGTAAGCAAAGTTTCAAACCCATTCCTTATATAAAGGGCCCTGCTGCAATCAATGTGAGTGCAAAGTTACGTAAGTTTCACCCACGCATGGAATGTTGTCTACATGGCACCAGTCGATGATCCGTCAATAGCAATGAAGGGTTGGAAAGCATAGACGCGCATGCAAGTCTCCACAGGTTCACGATGCTAAGGACAGCAGTACAACTGTACCGTCATCGACGGGTTTCTTAGGATGAAAATCCTGTCAATACTACTTTTCCGTCATCAAGGCAGCAATCAATTCAAAATATTTCAATGTTTTTAAAAAATTCCGCCCCTATTATAGCTTAAGGTTACCATATCGTCTTTGTTGGTTCAACAATTAGCTGGACGGTAAGCACCTTCGTATACATTTCAACTAATTTTTAATTTGTAAACGTAAATCTGGACAGATTTTGTCATGGCACAGAGCGACAGTAACCTGCCTGGCCTTCGCAAACATTAGCGACTCGCTCACGTGTACAACTCTGTACATTCAAGTCATAACTGTTTCAAGGCATATGAACGAACAAACTTAGCAAGCGCCAAGCAGCTCACAACATACGAGTGCAACGAATAAAAGTCGCAAAATTATACTTATTTCTAAAAAAATTCATACAAATTAATAAATAGCGTCTACGGTGTGTATAAAAAACAGCGACTTGCTAATAGTCGCCAAAAACAGCGACTTGACAGTCACAGACGGTGTTACAGCGCCAGAAGTTAACTTAATAGGTAGTGCCGAATTATGTACGTATAATAGAGTGACAGTTTTAGCGCGAAGGTAATATATGCACATTTCACATGATTATATTTCTTAAGATTATGACAGAAAATACTTAAATTCTCGCCTATAAACTGGAGAATGGAAAATTTATCTTATAATAGTTTTGTCCAGTGACCATACACGTGCATTCAGCATCACGGCGTCGCGCAGCCCTGTCAGACGTGACTAGGGTAGTCCTGCAGATTCAACCGTCGAACGATTCGGATTGTCAACGCAACCAACCAGAAGCTTAAAAGTTATTCAATAATTTTAAATAGAAATCTTACATCTTTGATTTGATGGTAAGTAATGAGGAGATCGATTCAATATTTTTGAACCGTTGATCTCAGAGTTACCTACATTCATAGTGGCTACCTATAGAAACACAATTAGCACATGCCCGAAAATGTTACATGTAACATGGTCACCGAAATACAAACTTTACTTAAACACTCAGTAAATCAATGTGTAATTGAATATAAAATTTTAAAAATATATAATTTTGATTAACTAGTAAATTATTTTAGTAACTTTGAATTTTACCAATAAACAGCCTCACACTGTCACACAGTTCACGGCACAGTTACCAGCGTTGGCACTCAGATTCTCGGAAACGTAGCGCCACAACCTCCCATTTCCACAGTTCGACAGCAACTGAATGTTTGACCATGCACTAGGCAGACGGCAGTCCTGCTATTACGTTCCGGATTGCCCGGCACCGAATCTGAACAGGCATTTAGCTTATAACATTTCTACGAACCAATGATGACTTCAAACGATTTTGCGCTAGATTTATTTTGAGGGCTTCTTAACCTGAGAGGAATCGAGAAGATAGACAAATCCTAACAACTACAATACTCTGGCACAATTTTATATTTTTTATCGTTCCTGTTAATGTTGAACTGCTATAACTGCCTTATTAAATTTTTCCACACGCAATATAATACAAAATTTGAAAAGCATGGCTCTTTGATAGGTTTTAATTATGAGACCAAATTCCATAGATGATTTTCCTTACTTATTTTTCATTACATTTCATATTATTTGTAAATTGTAAATGAACAACCACTTGATCCAAAATTTTAATGAAAAATCAGTTAATTAACATTCTACAACCTAACGAGGGTTAAACTTTTTTCACAAATATTTTTATGTCAGAAATATCTCATTGTTTAAGTAGGTGCGGATTTAGTTCTGTTTTCTTGCTCCTCCGTGGTCTTGCAGTTGGAATCCCGTGTTTTTATCCGTAGTAGTTTTATCCATGTCCGGCCGTTTCTTTCATATTTAAAATGAAAAATTTACGGAAATTTGTTCACCTTTTGTGTTTTAAATCAGGCCATAATGTGCGTGGGCTTGAGATTAAGAGTTACAACCTAAGGACGTACTGCCAAATTTCTAAAGAGTCAAAAACGTCTGGAACATCAGCAACTGAAAGCTTAGTAGAAAATTTAGCTGTCCCAGATTTTGTTTCATCACTTTCGGCTGAGAAACGGCAGGAAATATTGCTTGAACTTCATAAACTTGAAGCTGCAGAGGCTAGGAAGAAAGCAGAAGGTAAGTTTCTCTTTATTCCTATGTGATAAACTGATCTTTTGCTATGAGTAAAAATACTAGATTAAAATGGAAATTTTGATATACCATAAACTGTAAAGTTGAACATAACACAGGAGGCCAAAGACTCAAATAAACCAATTACATAAAGGCTTAAAAAATTATCATTTAAAAATAAAATCTTGCAAACCAAAAGTGACATTTTTCATAAATTTTTAATCTCACCTAGCTAACTGGAAAATTCTGTAGAAGCCAAACATAAATTAATCAAAAACCCCTGTTCTTTATGCTGTGAATAGGCCTATGGCAAATTCTACATATTCTAAGCAAAGGATTTTTTCCATTTTCTTGTGTAAAAATTGACAACATTCCATTTTTACCTATAATTTTTGAGAAATACTGTCTAATATTCTAAATTGGGAATTTCATGGCCTAATTTTATATTCTAATTGACAATTACTGAATTAGATAGGAGATCAATAATCTAGCTGGAATATATTGGCTTCAGAAAAAAAAAAATGCTCTAGTCCTCCAAGTAGTCATAGCAGAGAAGTAAGATAGATTACAGGCCTATTTTCATGCGCCTAAGTGGAAAAAACGCGACTTCAGATGGATTAGTTCGCCTGGTAATGAATTCCGTAGAGGGCTTAGGCTGTGAAAAATTGGCACTAATTCCGCAAGATGCACAAAATTGATAATGAATTCAAGACGAATTCCGCAGCGCAACCAGCAAAGCGAAATCCGCGCGAAGTTCGAAGCCAAGAAGAAAATACGGAAGCCAGACGCACGATCGAACAGAAGCTACTGGACCAGGAGCAATGTTCATGTTCGTTGACCCACTTAACCGTGGTTTTGCTCGAGAAGAAAATATGACGTGAACGCAATCGTAAACGCGATGTACGAATACCGCCCTTCGGCTTACCAACACCAAGTACGAGAGTAATGAGACAACTAAGCAAGTCAGCAACCTTGCAGTTGATGATCTGCTAATGTGCGGGTGGGCAGTGTACTCTATTACTGTTGTGGGGTTCCCTTCATGATATAACACATCTCTGAATTGTTCGAGCACCGTAACCAATGGTGAGTTGAACTGGTTTTCATTCCTTTGCAACTAAATAATGTATGTTTGATATAATGTATTTTTCTATAGTAAATAGGAGTGGGAACTTTGGTGAGGCTCTCAATTCAAGACATGGAACGTTACTCATTACTGCCTGTCTCTTATACACATCTGATGTGTATAAGAGACAGGAATAGCTCTGCCTCCTCCCTCACCGTGCTCAGTTCTGAAGCTAAGACGTCTCGTGAACACCAGTCGGTG